GTCCCAGCTACTTGGGAGGCTGAGGCAGGAGACTCGCTTGAGCCCAGGAGTTGGAGGTTGCTGTGAGCTGTGATGCCATGGTACTCTACCCAGGGGGATAGCTTGAGGCTCTGTCTCAAAAAAAAAGATTAGCCGCAACCACTGGGATCCTGAAAGAGGCGAGGATAAGGTGACCAGACGTCCTGCTTTTGGCTGGACAGTCCTGATTTTTAACAATTTGTCCCACATCCCACAGCATTTTTAAAAAGTCCTGATTTTTGGAGGTAGTCCAGGTCAAAAATGGCAGTGGCTGCGTTCAGGCTTTCCAGGTGGTTGGGTCGGTCTATCCCACAGCTGGGGTGGCTCATGTCGAGTGGTGTCCACAGCAAGGAGGGCTCAGCTCGCATGTGGAGGGCCCTCACCTTCTTTGTCACCCTTCCCAGGGTGGGAGTGAGTATGCTGAATGTCTACTTGAAATCCTGCCACGGAGAACATGAGAGACCTGAGTTCATCCCTTATTCCCATCTTCGCATCAGGACCAAGCCCTTTCCCTGGGGAGATGGTAACCATACTATTCCACAACCCTCACGTGAATCCACTTCCATCTGGTTATGAAGATGAATAAAGAGAACTTAGACCACTACCCAGACATTGGGGACCACGGCTTCAGTTTGGACCATTACTCTGCAGGTGGACCAGAGAAAGTGTACAGGACCCTAAGCTCACCTTCTTTTATCATATGATTACCAGTCTTCCCTCCCTTTGATGGCTTAAATAAATAAACTAAGATTGGTAAAAAAAAAAAAAAAAGAGTCCGCCCCCGTCAATGGTGTCCCGCTTTACCAATGTTAAAATCTGGTCACCTTAGCTTAACTGTGTATCCCGAAGTCCCAGAGAGGCACATCAAGTGTAAGTGCCGAATAGGAACTTATGGGAAGCCCTGAAGGGTGAGGCGAGTTTGCATTCCAGGTCGGAACGTTCTGGAGCTTCGGGGTCCCCAGGCCTTCGCGGAAGTCCAGTCGTTTTCCCCAAGGGGGAGATGACAGGAGGGACCGTATGCACAACTTTCATTCTCTCCAGATCCCTCCAGAGGGAGGGCGGCCGGCAGCCTCGGGCCAGGTGCGCGCTCCTGCGGTTGGAGGAGGGTGACCCGCCTCAGCTCTACAGGCGGAAGCGCCACAGCCATTGGCCCAGCGGCGACACTTACCTGCACTGGGTCCGGGGCGCAAAGTCCGAGGCGCGGGCCGAGACGGTGGCGTAGGTGGGTCCGTGCACTACTCAGTTGGGCAGGATGCTTCGGTGGCTGTGGGAATGGCTGTTCAAGCCTGCGGAGACCAAGCCCACGGAGACCTCCCTGCATGCGGAGCGCAGACAGAAGGGCGCGGCCAGCGGGAGCGCCCCCGTACCCCCGGACCCTGCGACCAGCCTGGTCTTCTGGACGCTGCTGGCGCACGGCAGCCCCGCATACCAGGTGGAGGGTTTCTCCAGCATCCAGGAGCTCTACGCCAAGATCGCGGACATGTTTGGGATCTCGCCGTCAGAGGTAAGGGGCCGGTGTCCAGCGCCGACCGCCCTCTCCCTGTCTCTCCGCCTCGCCCCTCCAGTCGCCCGGGCTGGGGACCCAGATGCGGGCTGGAGTCCCCAGGAGCGTCCCGGGGGACCGCGTTGAGCCTCACCGGGAGGGGCGCAGGTTAAGTACCAGGAGCAGAGAAAGCCACATTCCCCTATCCCGGAGCCTGGGACCAGGCAACCTTCCTCCACACGCGGAGGCGTCTCAGATTCAGTCGTATGGGGCGTGAGCGTCTCCCCAGAGCCGGTCTGGCCTGACAAACTTAACACCTCCCATCTGATCTGGAGCCACTCTCTGGTTTCCTCTGCAGGGGTGAGAGGGTCTCACGCTGCCCACCTCCCTAAATTACCGGGAGAAAACAATTGAAGTGCCTTCCATGTGAGCCCAAGCCAAGGCCCGCTTTGCCCCTCATGTGTCGTTTCTTTTTTCTTTCTTTTTTTTTTTTTAATTTTATTAAGTCAAATACACATAGTTCATGAATACATTCACGCATATGTGGGGTACAATGTGCTGATTTTTAAAAAATACAATCTGACATGGTTACATCAAACCAGTCATCATAGCTTTCACCTCATTTACTTGATTATTGTGCCAAAACATCTATGTTCTATATTTCACAGATTTGACTTGTACCCTTGTCATATGCTCCATAGGTGTGGTCTAGAAACTCTTTGGTGGCATTCCCAAGAAGTTAATAAAGCTGGGCTGTTATTCCAAGGGTGGGTAACCTAGAGAATCACGTAATCACGCGAGACCAGTTAACAGCATTTTCATGGGAGATCAGCTTTAACTTTTACATCCTATAAGGGACTGCAATTTCCCTTAATTAGACTGCATGTGGGCCTGACCCAGAGTTTGATATCGGCACGATCTGGAAAGCATTTGTTTATGTGAGCGCTTTATTTGTGCTTACCCGAGTAAACTGCAAATGTTGGTGTGAAAGTTAGAATAAGAAAACGTTTTGTCCACATTTCTAGGAAGAGCGCATGATTTTACTGGACTGACTCCCAGTCGTGCAGAGAACTGCCCCGGGTGGCGAGTGGTGCACAGGGGCATCTGGACATCTGTTCTTTAGTTGTTTATCAGGTCTGTTCAAGGGAAATTGAGGTCACGACAAAATTCCAAGAGGAGATGTAAGAGAGACAAAGTGTCACCCTTTTTCTTTCAGGGTCCCCGCGGACCAAGGGGCAAATCACAAACCTGCTTGTGAATTATTTATGTTAATATAGGATATGACTAATACTTTGTATGAGAATTTTCAGTTCAGAAAATACTTTTACAGGAATAATTTCCTCTAATCTTCTCTAGGGGAGGTGGGTGGCAGGTTAAAATATGTAAACTTGGATGTGGAACCAGCTTCTGCCCTTTACTATCTAGCTGTGTGACTTTGAACAAGTCTAATTTATCTCAGTTTTAGCCACCTGTAAAACAGAGATAAGAATGCGTACCTTGAACGTATTGTGAAGACTGGAGTCATATGTAACCCGGGCCACATGTGAACCTATCAGATTGCATGGTATATGGCCAGTGCTTGATAAATAACTAACATTATTAATGCCTAACAGTTAAATGGGAGACTAAGGTACAAAGTGATTGCACTTTTTTTTCATGGAATTAGCAAGAAAAAAGGTGGGTTATTATTTAAATTTGTGTCTTCTGATTTCTAAGTCAGTGAATCTATCAGCATGCTTAACTGACTTTAAATGTCTCTCTTGTAAGCAGACCCTTCAGTTTTAGTTACAGATGGTCCCCAACATATGACAGGTTCAACTTAAGATTTTTTGACTTTCCCTTGGGTTTAGTGGGTTTACTGGGGTATCAAATGCATTTCTGCCTTAGGTTATTTTTGCCTAATGATGGAGTTATTGGGATGTAGCCCCCTGGTAAGTTTAGGAGCATCTGCACTTTGCATTAACAGTTTCCTTCATCCTTATTCTGAGCTCAAGATACTTTTTTTTTTATTCTTTATTTTATTTTTTTGGCTGGGGCTGGGTTTTAACCCACCACATCTGGCATATGGGACGGGCGCCCTACCCTTTTGAGCCACAGGTGCCGCCCCGAGCTCAAGATACTTGACTTTCAATCCACTTAATCCTTAAGAAGTAGATACAGTAGAAACTCAGTAAGTTGATCACCCAATGACTGTAACAACTGGCCAACATATGGAGGTAGTCAGCATGAGGAACTGGGCCCACTGTACTGATATGTCCATGTGGTGCGTGTCCTTACTATGAAAATCAGGTCAACTTAAGGAGGTGGTCAGTGTAGGCAGGTGGACAACTATGGAGATTCTCCTGTATTATTATTAATATTTCTGCTTCACAGAGGGGAAACTGAAGCTTTCAGGTTCAGACTCTTCAGAATTACACATAGCAAGTGGCAAAGCTGGATATGAATGCAGTTTTTTTTTTTCCTCACTCCAAATTCCTTGAAGCTATATTGCTTCCTAAGTTTTCCAGAGTCTCTTGGCAATACCTGGGAGCTGAGTTCAACACTTTCAGTGCACTGACTTGCAAGATAAAATTCCATGATAATGAGCACAGGCTGTTCTGATGTGCTAAACCAAAGCTCATAAATAATTTGTTTTTAATTGTTGGGGATTCATTGAGGGTACAAGAAACCAGGTTATGCTGATTGCATTTATTAGGTAAAGTCCTTCTTATAATTATGTCTTGGCCCAAAAAGGTGTGTCACACACTGAGACCCTACGCCCTCCTTCCTTCCCTTTCCCTGCGCTTCCCTTCTCCCACACCCTCCCTCCTTGCCTCTCTCTGCTCATCCTTTCCCCACCCTCCTCCCTCCTTCTCCCTCTCTCTGCTCTCCCCTTCCCCCAGCCACCACCAGGTACCAGGTAATTAATTGTCATATCAGAATTGAGTACATAGGATTCATGCTACTCCATTCTTATGCTGCTTTACTAAGAATTATGTGTTCCACTTCCATCCAGGTTAATAAAAAGGCTGCAAAGTCTCTATCTTTTTTAAATGGCTGAATAGTATTTCATGGTATACATATACCACAGCTTGTTAATCCATTCCTGGGTGGTGGGCATTTAAGCTGTTTACACATTTTGGCAATTGTAATTGAGCTGTGGTAAACAGTCTACTGCAAATGTCCTTATGATAAAAGGATTTTCTTTCCTTTTGGGTAGATGCCCAGTAATGGGATTGCAGGGTCAAATGAGAGGTCTAACGTGAGTTCTTTGAGGGCTCTCCATACTTCCTTTCAAAAAGGTTGTATTAGTTTGCATTCCCACCAGCAATGTAGAAGTGTTCCTTTCTCTCCACATCCATGCCAGCATCTGTAATTTTGAGATTTTGTGATGTGGGCCATTCTTGCTGGGGTTAGATGATATCTCAGGGTGGTTTTGATTTGCATTTCTCTAATAATTAGGGAAGATGAGTATTTTTTCATGTTTGCTAGCCATTTGTCTGTCTTCTTTAGAGAAGGTTCTATTCATGTCTCTTGCTCATTGATATATGGGATTGTTGGCTTTTTTCATGTGGATTAACTTGAGTTCTCTATAGATCCTAGTTATCAAGCTTTTATCTGATTCAAAATATGCAAATATCCTTTCCCACTGTGTAGGTTGTCTATTTGTAAAGCTCATAAATAAATTTTTATAAGCCCCATAGTATACCAGCATCCTTATGCATATAACCAGCATTAATGCAAGCTTTCCATCTGTACTGAAAAGAGTTAATACACAGTCTATCCAGAAGGTATCGGTCATTACATTATATCATTAGTAGCTTGCTAGTTCACTTTGAAACAGAAGTAACTTCTAAAGTTAAATGAACTGCTGGGAGAGGTGCATCATGCCTGTAATCCTAGCACTCTGGGAGGCCAAGACAGGTAGATTGCTTGAGCTTAGGAGTTCAAGACCACTTTAAGCAAGAGCGAGACCCCATTTCTACTAAAAATAAAAAATTAGTGGGGCGTGGTGGTGGTTGTTGTCTCTAATCCCAGTCACTTGGGAGGCTGAGGCAAGAGGATCACTGGTGCCCAAGAGTTTGAGGTTGCTGTGAGCTATGGCTCTATGGTAGACTACCCAGGTCAATAAAATGAGACTCAAAAGAAAAAAAAAATCAAATGAATAGCAGGGAGATGCTGTCTCCCCTTCCATTCCCTCCCATTACCCCAGCAAGCAGTTTTCTCAATAATGGTGGTATAAATAATGTTTGAGATATTAGTGAGGACAAAACAAAAATTTCCTTTTTCCTTTCTTTCTTTTTCTTTGAGAGAGGGTCTCATTTTGCCACCCTTGGTAGAGTGCTGTGGGGTCATAGTTCATAGCACACCAAACTCTTAGGCTCAAGGGATCCTCTTGCCTCAACTTTCCAAGTAGCTGGGACTACAGTCGCCCACCACAACACCTGGCTATTTATTTTAGCAATAAATAAATCAGTTTTGTACTTAGAAGATTTACACATCCAGAAACTGGAAACTCAGACTTAGTTTCTTGATAGAATTCAGAAATTACTTCCTTTGACTTGGTTATGTTAGTTTGTGTATGATATTAGATACCAAATTGTTCATTGAATGAATAAGTCACTCGCTAACTCACCTCTCCCTGCATAAAGCAGTCACATAAACAGTGCACGTGAGAAGCAGAAAAGGCAAGAATGGGATTTTTAATTTCAAACTCTACACTCACAAGCATGCTATTGTTTCTCTTAAAACAAACCAATCTTCTTGTGACACCTGTTCCCATCCCATGTGCTACCACCAAATTTCTCCTTTATAGCAGAACTTCTCAACAGTTGCAATCTTTAATGAGATTCAGTTCGTATCTTATTCTCAGCTCAAAACCCTCCATGGCTTTTCTTCTCACTTAGAACAAAAGCCAAAGCTCTGTGACTGGCTGTGGCCCTGTTACCTCTCCCAAATCATAGTTCCTTCTGCTTCAGCCAGTCTGGCCTCCTGGTTATTCTTTGAATTGAGGACACTAGTTGTGGTCTATGCCTAGGGTG